TTTTCTCACAGAAGAAGTGAACTACATCTCCCTCTTCATAGATTTTCTTCACAGGATAGAAACCTCCATGTGTCATTGCACTCAAAGAGGAGCAAGTTATTTCTAGGAAGAAAACACCCAGCAGTGAAAAGGAGTTGAGGAAGACCCTCCCCCAACAGCTTATAAAACAAGCCTTTTTAAAAATTTTTGTTCATTTTTAGAATAAATCACATTTCAAACAATTATTTTCCAGACCATTACATACTAGTGCAGCTTGGAGGAAGGGACCACCCATGTGTTAAACACACTGCTTCTTCTGTACTGTTTCCTCCTGCAGTATAATATCCCTCATCACATTTGTATCGCAGTGTTTCATTCAGTCGAAGCTCTAGTTGGGCTGTGAAGTAGCTGCCATGAGACAAATTGGGTACTTGACATGACTCTAAAATAAACAAACCATAATAACTGCTCGTTTCAAGCTATTAAAGTTTTCCTTACAGACACCTTAAAAGCAGTCACATCCAAAGCAAAATTTTTGCAAGTAATGAGTAATTAGAAATGCAGTAGTTTACACAAGTTTTCTAGTCATCATTTAGGAAGAAAGTTTGGATGGCAATGAGTTTATTTGAAACAATGTGGTTTAATTTCTACCAATTCCTTCCACTATCTATATATATATACAAAAAACTAGCAGCATGACAAATCTGAAGACTTCTTCCCAAGAGGTACAGCTGAAAACCTCTTTTAGGAGTACTCCCATGATAAGCTGACACAGGCAGTTTGGCCCTATGGGTACAGCCAGGATGGTAGAACTGAATACATGTAAGACAGACTATACAGGAGAAAAATGTAGAATCCTACCAATTTTCTTAGAACAGCTTGGCTGTGAGGACCATCCTTCTGGCTGACATTGTACTGTATCTTCAGTACCACCCCCTGGAGGGTGGTAGCCTGGATTACATTTGTATTGCAGTTTCTCATGGATTTTGAAGTACGTTTCTGTACCGTAAAAAAAGCCATTTTCCAAAAAAGGCTTGGTGCACTTTTCTAAATTAAAGGAGACATGTTGGTTAGAAAAAAAGAATTAACAGAATATTTTTCTTCTGTAGTAAATAAAAGAAGAAGTTTTTAGCTATCCTGATCTAAGCTTGTTTTCTTGATCTACTGAAGAAACTCTTGCACAATCATCAAACAACGTATCAAACTGAGGGTAGTAACATAGCACACAACCAAGGAAGGCCAGGGTGGCTCTAGAGGATATTCCTCTGAGGGGAAATTATTTGTTTTTGCAAAATAAAGTATCTTAAAAGTCCTTAAAATATGTATTACTGTAAAAACATTACTGATATAAACACACGCAGTTTGCACACATGAAGGACTGATTTCACTTTGTCCTAAATTAGACATTTTATCCCTCTTCTTACGCAGCTTATGTTCCACTATATTCAAGAAAATTCAGCTAGAAGTTTCCTGCTAGAAGCAGGAACCAGATGGATAAAGCTAACTCACTGTAGCATCGTGGCACTGGAGACCACCCTTTTGCTGCACATGTTATTCTTCCATCTTGAGTCCCCATCTCAGTCGTATAACCAACCAGACAAGAATAGGAAAGTTTCTTTTCCTTACGCATAGGGAAATAGTAACTTCTGAAATTATAATAGTACTGGGCAATCTCTCCATTTTCTATGTGTGGTAAATCACAAGGTTGATCTGAAAAATAATAAGTATATTTCTCACTAAAAATCTCAGTCCAGATGTGAACTTTCTTTTTGCATTAATGTATTTAATATCTGTTGGATTAATTCAGCCCCTCAAATAAGGTGAACGAAATTCTGAATGCTTACAAGCATGAAGGGTCTTGTAAATTCACCAGCTTTTGTTCTTTAGGTTCACAGGAACATCAGCTGTAGAATGAAACTTCCTAATGTGAACGGGGTAAAACCCACACAGGACACATTTATTTAACTCTGTTTATCCCAGAAGATGTAAGCATGAGCACTTCTTGCTGCATAAACATACTGATGCCTGCTCTAAAATACTGTGGCAACAGTGTCAAGAAAACCTAACTATAGCTACTCATCCAGCAAACATTATCAGAACAGTCTGAGAGACTGCCAGGAGCTAGGAGCTAGGCTTGCTGAAGAAAGGGAATTTTAGAACAATCAATGGAAAAGAAAGAAGAAATTAAAGTTATTACAAGAACAAACAAAAATAAAGAGCAAAATTCAAAACAAAACAAAACAAATAATAATAAAGAAAACCTTTAGCAGGTATCGTCCTGAATATTACATTGTTATTTAAAAATAATTTAAAAAAAAACACAAAACAAAAATCCGAAACACACACCAGAACAAAAACCCAACAAAAAGCAATACTTATGTTTAGATTGCTTATAAAGGTGTCCTTTGTGTCTTAAAAATTCTCTCCATGGTATTACAAAGAAATCTAACCTGATTCAAGTTTTAAAAACTGAACCACTGATGAGTCTCTTTATAATTGGGGAGAATTTTCCCACAAGTTGGCACTGCTGCATTCTCCCTACAC